ACGTTTTCCAGTAGCCGCCTTAGAAAAGAAAAAGTGAAATTGAGTTTAATACTGTTTTACGCATTATGTCCCAGGTGTTAGGACTTAAGCATGTAGTCAGTGTGGATTAACGAGGTAGTTTGGATTCTTTTTTCCATGCTGCCTTTGAAACCTGGGCCTATTTCATACTCACACGTCACATGTGGCCCCGTGGCTGCCACAGCGGACAGCCCTGTCTACAGCCTCCCACCAGCGTCTGAAAAGCTGTGTCCCCGTCCCCTGCTGGCTTCGCTCGGTGCGCACGGCGCTCCCGTGGCAGGCAGGGTGCTGCCCGTGCCCCCCCCCCACCCCGCCCCGGCTCAGGAAAGGAGCGGCGTTCTCGTGCCGGGAGTCTGAGTCGCGTGTCCGTGGAGGTGCGTGGGAGCTAACGGTCACTTTAATAAAGCTCAGTCTGGGTTAATGTGTGTGTGCATTAGGAAAAGTAAGGCATAGCAGTTCACTATTTCTGAAAGTGATGCATTTTGTTTTACACGTGTTTTCTTGTAGTCCACAGCATTCTAACTTGTACTCAGACGTAACGGGACAGGCCGTAAGCGGGTTGCGCGGCGTGGAGGAACTGCGACGGCTCGCGGGCGCCCAGCTGCCTGCCGGGAGCCGATGGGGGGCCGGCTTGTGCCCAGGCCTGGCGGCAGTCGGCGGGGGCGGGGCGACGCGGCACGCGGGACTCTCCGTCCCCGTCAGGGTGGGCGTTCCAGGCCACGGCGGCCGTGGCCACACCGACACGCTGGGTCCCCGCGGGTCGGTCAGAGTGTGCGGTGTCCTGGGAATAACTGCCCCCGTTGGATGGAGGCCCGCACGCCCGGCGGGCAGGCCCCTGCAGCGCCCCTGTCTCCGGCAGCTCTCTTCTCCCAGACCCGTAGCCGCGGAGCTGAGTGCTCTGCACAGCAGTTGCGTGCACAGTTGTGGCCGGTCCGGGGCCCTGAGCGGCACGGAGTCCACGAGAGTTCGAGTGAGTGGGGGAGGGGCCGGCTGCAGGGCAGCGCATCCTTCCCGACAGCGGCCGCAGCGGGGCGTGGGTCTGCGGGCAGGACGGTGGCCGTGGCTCACAGCGTGACAGGGCGCCTGCCGACGGGAGCCGAGTGGGGCAGAGCTGCCGAGGGCAGTGGCGCCCGCTGAGACCGCCGCTGCGAGACTCGGTGCCGGCCAAAGTTCCGACGCCTCTTAGAATATTCTAGATCCAGCTCCTTTGTATCGCCCGCCACTCCCCACTACTGCTGCCATCGAGAGGAGTTTTTAAAGACAGATGTCACAGTACTTTGTCGATGATCTTTAAGATGCTCCTGTGCCTTTCGCACTGAGGTCTCTGTTTCCTTGGACCTGCTTTTGCGACGAGTAAATACGCTACTTACGAAAGGAACTGGCCTAGAATTAAAAGAAACAGTTGTAAATGAGGATTTAGAGACGTTCCCCTCATGTAAGAAAATAACACCTGTGGCTCCTTTGGCGCCGTGCCTTTCCCATCGTGCATCACCTGACAGTCACCGGGCGTGGGTGTCCGTTCCGGAAAGAGCACATCTGGTGCCAGAGTCCTGAATGCTTCGGGTTTCTGACTTTTTAAACTAGCGATTTTACAATGTTATCGGTGTTATCTTCCACTCACATAATGGATGTAGCAGCTGCTTCCTAACCTGCTAACGAATTCTTTGCTGTTCCTTGCGACTCTGGACTTCCTTGTGATGAGGAATTGTTTTCAAAATAAAGAACTGACCACATTCTAGCAGCCTTATAAGGAAGCTGCTCTGGAAGGGAGTTTGGGAGGAGCCCTTTGTCCAAGTAGCTGGATACAGGACAGAGTGACCGCTCAGAAGGAGCAAAGGAGACCTTGTCTGGCTTTGGGCAGGTGAGTGAGGGGGCAGGTAGCGGCAGGTCAGCCTGGGAGTCGGACGATGAGGGATTTGGGCAGGCACAGCCCATCAGACGGAGGTTTTGTGCGAAGAGAACAGGGGAACAGGGTGGCCGCGGGGCCGGGAATCCTGGTTCAGCTCATGCCCGGATGCCGTGGGAAGCGTGCGCCTGAACTCGGGTCCCAGGAGTGCGGTGCCTTGTGCAGGAGGACGCTGCGCGGGCATGGGCCGCGGCGGCAGGAGGAGCCCTTCCCGAGGCAGGCGAGGCCGTGGCGACCAGCGTCTGGCGTGAGGACAGGGCCCACGCTGTGCCAGAAGTTCCTGGGAATCCACACTGTCCCCTTCTGTCTGTCTGGAGGCAGGGGGTAACGGTGCTGTCAGACGCCTCTGTTACACGGTCCGTTTCACTTGAATATTTTGCTGAGCCTCCTTAAATTCTGTGTCGCGTGTAGTATGATGGATTAATTACCTGTTTAAAAGTGTTTTAGGACGTGTTATTTGAGTAGGGAGCCTGCTAAGTTCAGGCTTATGCATTAAGTTGTCTGAAACGTAGCGCAGGGAACACTAGAGCCTAGCAGTCACCCTCGCGTGTGAGATGACTTGACCTAAAAGGGGAGCCACGCTGGGCGTGGGCAGGGAGCGCCGACCCCTCCCTGGGGCGGGGGTTGTGGCGGGAGAGCCCGCCGGTGGGCAGCGGAAGTGCGCACGCAGGCTTTCGGGGGGTCTCCTCTCGTTTCCTGAGAACATTCTATTTTGTGATTGTTTTTTAGAAAGAAGGAGTTCTGTTGTTACAGGTTGTCCGAATAAATGAGGTTTTTTTCTTTCTCAATAGCAGTCTTATCCAGAACTGGGGAGTGGAGGAGGCTTGCTTATTGTTCGTGTTATCTAAACTGCAAGGGCAGCGTTACATTACCAGGAAGGAGCTCTGTGTGAAGGTACAGGGAGTGCCCCCTCCCTCCAAAAGCTGCTCCAGCCGATCCTGCTTGGTGCCTGGTGGTGGCGGCTTGTGGGAGACGCCCGGCGGTGGGAGACGCAGGCGCTGCTCGGCACAGCGCACACTTAAACTTCTGCCTTGGCTGTTTCTGGAACTTTGCGTGTCACACGCTCGTTTCTGGCTGGGCACGGGGAGAGCGAAGCCGCACACGGGAGAGCTGCTGCGTTCTGCAGTTCAGTAAGCGCCACTTTCCTGTTGGTCGGCGGGGAGCCGGAGGACAGGGCGCTTGGAGAGCCTTCGGAAACGCTGGCCTTGCGTCCGTAAGCGTCATGCAGTATTTGCAGAAGGCGGCGCGGAGGGGGTTCCAGTGCCCGGTCACAGTTGTTACCTGACAGCTACGGGGAAAACTGCGCGGGGGTCTGTGTGAGCCCCGTGCGGGCAGGGGCGCGCAGAGCTTCAGGCAGGCAGGCATTCGGTGAGTACGCGTGGGGGAGTGAAGTGGTCCTTGAAGCGGCTGAGTCGCTGTGTTAAGCAGTGAATCGCGGGTCGTAGAGATGCATAGCATGCTTGCCAGCTCGCTTCCCAGAGCACATAACGCGGGAATACCCGCTGCCACAGTGGGGGCCCGGGAGGGTGCCTTAGGGGACCGCCCACCATGTGTCTCGGTCCCTGCATTCCAGGAAGCCAGCGCGGGGGCACGTGAAGCCAGGTGAAAGGTGTGTTTATTGCTCTTCGCTGAGTAACATGATAGATTCAGGAAGCTGCCATTTATTTACTGCCTCCTATGTGCTTTTTATTGTGAAATTTCAAATTTACCAAAAAGTGCAAGGTTTGCCAACTCTTCAAATAAATTTGTTTCTTGTTTTCAGTTCTGTGGCAGAGGAACCCAGGCGAAGAGCCTGGGCTGCCTTTGGCTGCCCCGTGGTGTTGAAAGTGCCGCGTGACTCTGGGGCATCCCATGGGCCCTGGGTGTCGGGACCAGGCAGGTCCGCACGGGGGGGATGCGGAGGGGGAAGAGGCTGTGGGGGCAGGTCTGGCGCCTGGGGGCCGGGTGTGTGGGGGCGTCGCTCGGCTCGGGAAACATCGTGCGTGCGTGCTAGCGCCGGGTTTCCAGGGGGGCAGAGCCAGGCGTGCCCTCCCCATGCCCGCCCGCTCGCGGTCAGACTGCCCTTCGAGCCTGCACCGCCGCCTCGTGGGGAAGGCGGCGCCGCCTCCAGGCGCCGGTGAGGCGCTGTGCGCACCGCAGGCGCGTTGTTTCGGTTGAGTCGTTTGTGGAAGCCACTGTCTTCCTGGCTGCCTGGGGTGCCTCCTTCTGTTCTTCCTTTTGGGACACAGCGTCTCGCAGCTGTCAGGCTAGGGGAGCGGGCGGGGCTAGGAACCCGTGCGCCGCTGCCGGTGTCGGCAGTGCAGGCCCTGCCAGCGTCCGCGTGCGCTTGCTTCCTCTGGGCTCCAGCAAATAGGCCGGAGTTTGATGTGTGGGCCCTGGTTGTGCCGCCACGCAGAACATGGGCTGTTCTCTGAAACAGCGGTATGTGTTTCCGGCATCCGTCTCGCTGGAGTCCCTCGCGCTCTGCGATGGACATGCGGAGGTGCGCGCGGTGGGCACTGGGGCCTGGGGCCTCCGGGTCTATTTGCCGTCCCAGCCCCTGCCCCCAAACCGAGCCGTGCAGAGCGTTTGCTGCATCATCTTCCCTCCCCGAAGTCCCTCGTCCTGTTTGCCACAATAACTTTTTTCTTGTTTTACATTCTTAAGTAAGGGTGTAAGGGGATCTAGGTAAGTATCAGAATGCAAAAATGCTATGCCTGTTTGCTTCTGTATTAAAGTGATTTATAGTGCATGTCAGGAGAGTGGTTTTTCGTTCACTCACCAATGTGACTGTTCATTACCAACTTTAAATTAGCTGTAGTTTCTGGTTTATTTTAGTCTTACCAATATTGACTGACTTTTCAGAAGTAATTTTTCTTAATTTGGAAACACAATAGATACATTTCCTGTTTCTTTATATTTCCAAAGAGAGCATTAATGTTATTAATACAGTTTTTAAAGTTTTTCATGTGGAACCAAGGATCAGGGTTTTTGTCACAGTTACCTCTGCACATGATGTATTTTGGTTGTGCTTCACTGAGCGGTGTATTTCCTTCTGTGTCTTCAGTGCGGTGTTTCTCACCTTGTTTTTGCTCAGGGTGCTGGTCAAGATAAACTTGGGATCTACGTCAAGTCCGTCGTGAAAGGAGGTGCTGCGGACGTGGTTAGTGTGCTTTTTAAAGACGTACACTCTTTTTTAAAGATTTGTAAAATTTATTTTTAGAGAGAGGGGAAGGGAGGGAGAAAGAGAGAGAAACACCCCTGTGTGGTTGCCTCTGTGCGCCCCCCGCCGGGGACCCAGCCCACAGCCCAGGCCGGGCCCTGACTTGGAACGGCACGGCGACCCTCTGGTCTGCAGGCAGGCGCTCGGTGCACGAGCCACGCCGGCCCAGGCTGGAGACACTGCCTGCCAGCGCGTCGCGTCTAACACACGCTAGGAGACAGTTGTGCTGGGGTTTCGGTTACACAGCACGATGCACCGTTCATAGAGGACAGGCAGCCAGGACGTGTCCTCACCTGGCTCTCCTTCCTTCCTCCCTCCCCCCTTGCCGCCCCGTGGACTCGCTCTGCTTCGGGGTATGTGCAGGACGGACGGCTGGCGGCCGGGGACCAGCTGCTCAGCGTGGACGGGCGGAGTCTGGTGGGACTCTCTCAGGAAAGGTATCATTTGTCTGTTTGCTTTAAGCTTAATATTAACATTTGTAGGGGTATTTCACAATGAAGTTTGGGGTTGGGAGACGAAAAGAATGCTGGAAAGCTGCACCCCACTCTTTGCCATGTGGATATAAAACCCAGCGCACGCGGCACCCCCTTGTGATCCGGGACGGCGCCCTGGCCGTGGGCAGCGAGTCCCAGCAGCGCAGCCTCAGGCCCCCGGCTCCCACAGGGCAGAGCAGGCACTGTGTCGCCTGCCTCTCACCTTCGTGACCCTTTCTCCCTAGGGCAGCGGAGCTCATGACAAGGACCAGCTCCGTGGTGACACTGGAAGTCGCAAAGCAAGGAGCCATCTATCACGGCCTCGCCACCCTGCTCAATCAGCCGTCCCCGATGATGCAGAGACGTGAGTGAGGGCTGCGTGGGGAGAACGGGGGTCCCGTGCCCGCTGCGGCCGGCAGCGGGCTCACTGGCCGCCTCGCACAGCCGGGCGCCACACCGCCAGGACCCCCGTCGGTGTCAACAAAGACCCTGTGGAGTTCAGTGTCCCAGTCTTAAAGACGGGGAATTGCGGGTGCGGCTTGCGGGAGCCACAATCAGTGCGGCCCTCGGAGCCGCGGTGGCAGTGCCCTCGCTTCCCGCCCGGAGAGCCCCGGACTGCGTCTCCGCGGGCCGGCTCCCGGCTGGGGGCCTCCCGGGGGCCTGCGCAGAGGGCGCCCCGCTCCGTCAGCGGCGAGCGTGCGGGAGGCCCTCCGTTCCCATAGCGAGCGCGGGGTGTAGTCTGTAAGGAACAGGCAGGGCCCCCGCTGAAGGGCTGCTTACGTGTATGTGCAGTTACTTCAGTCCTGCCGGAGCTGGAAGGGAACCGGTGAGCTTGTGAGTGGAGCTGACTTGTCATAAAAAGCTCAATTACTTGGGTAAAGTAGTTTGTTGGTGGGAACCATGGTTTTGTAGCTACCTCAAAAATCTCAGAATAAAAATCCATATAAACGCAGGGTTTTTTAAAGAAATTACTTCAGAAACCACAAGAAAAAAGACGATGGCTCACGTCGTATTTAAAGTCATTCCACACTTGCCCTCTCGGCCGCGTGGTCCCCGGCCCCTGGGCCGGGCGGGGTCGGCGGGAGTCCGAGCAGCGGGGCCTCGCTCGCTGCACCAGGCGCGGGTGTCCGCTAACGTGCACCCTGACTTGGCCTGTTTTACTAGTTTTATAACCTAATACTTAAGACACTGATTATCTGATTTCTAAGTTTACAGTCATTTCAATGAAGCAAACTAGACAGAGTGTGAGGAAAAGAGGGACCCGTAAAAGCTGATGATAAATCGGGGTCACCAGGCAAGGAGCTAACGAAACTAAGAAGTCGAGGTTAGAGTCCCGTCCAATGGGGTCTGTGACAGTGACCGCCCTGAATGGGTGGAAGAATGAACACATTTAACAAAGTGAGGGGAGTATGTGTATTTTTCTAAAAAGCTACTTTAAAACAGATTTTGTAACTTGAGTTACTTCAGTTTTGTTACTTAAAATAGGTAAGTTATGAGAAAAGGAGCTTTGAAAGAGTGCCGTTTTCCATTAATGCCTGTTAAATGTTGCTTTATGTGAAAACCTTTTGAAGATCCTCTGGAGGAATGTCACCCTTACATAGAAGTCATCTTATTTTCTGCCAAAAACAAGTTTTACTTACGGAGTTTTAAATACTTGGAGATTTATTTTTCCCTGAGAAGGAAACATGTCAGAGAGAAGCCTGAACGTGCGGTGACGTGGACGCGTTTTGATTGCAGTGTCGGACCGCCGGGGCTCAGGCAAACCCCGACCGAAGAGCGAGGGCTTCGAGCTCTATCACAACGCAGCTCCAGACGGGTCCCCCGAGAGCCCTCAGATGCCCTGGGCGGAGTACAGCGAACCAAAGAAAGCAGCGGGCGACGACAGGCTGCTGAAGAACAGAGCGGACCACCGGTCCAGCCCCAACGTAGCCCGTAAGAGAGCCTCTGCAGCCCCCTCCCCAGCCCTCGGCCAGGTCCCGGGTGGGGCCGGGGTGCTCGCGGGAGCACGAGGCCGCGGCCTGCGTTCCGCGAGAGCTGTCGGGGCGACTGTCCTGGTAATGGGCGGCAGGAGCTGAGGCGGTGCCCTTCCAGTTCAGCCGCTGCTCTGGGCAGGCGTGCGGGCTGCGCCGCTGGCTTCCACAGGCGCTCAGGGCCGCGAGCAAGGGAGGGCGCGGCACGCACACGTGTGGCCCGGTGCACAGCCCTGTGTGGGTGGACCCTGTGGCTCTGGCTCTGGTCTCAGGAGCCGGGGAGGAGGTGTGGGGGGCCCGGCCTTCCCGGGCCTTGGGCTCCCCTCTGAGCCAGATGCCTCGCGGGCAGAGCGGAGGCGGGTGGTGCAGGGTGGCTGCCCCCGGGCTTCTCGGTCGGGAGTGTCTTGCTACAGAATGTGACACTTCTGTCCTTGACTCTCCCCCCAGATCAGCCCCCGAGCCCTGGAGGGAAGAGCGCCTACGCCCCCGGAGCGACCGCAAAGATAACGTCCGTGTCCACGGGGAACCTCTGCGCGGAGGTCCGAGCCCTGCGCCCGCCCCTGTGCACAGCCCGGGGGGTTGTTGTTTTATTTTTAAAAGAACAGGCAAAAGAGCTGTGGACTCCAGGAGAAATAAACTGGTTTTCATTATTTGCAATGTATAGGATCAAACATTTCTAATTTTTAACAGGGCTTTCAAATAAACACACTACATTATAGAAGAGATCATTGGAAATTAAATTAGCCTGCTGTACAGAACGCAGCGCTCACATGTCTGCCTTCCTCACTGTTCCCAGGAGCAGACGCCGCCCCCGCGGCCCGAGGCCTACCCCATCCCCACGCAGACCTACGCCCGGGAGTACTTCACCTTCCCCGCCTCCAAGTCCCAGGACCGGGCGGCCCCTCCCCCTCCTCACAGCCAGTGGCCCCCCTACGAGGAAGAGCCACAGGTGCGCGCGGACAGCAGCCACCCCAGCACTGCCACGCAGGTGAGGGAGGGCGCCACACACACTGCGCCCAGCGGGGTGCACCGGAACCCCTCTGGGCCAGGGCCAGGTCCCGTCCACCAGCCCTGCGGACTGCGGTGTTGGCGCTCTGTCCCGATTTGGTGTTTAGCTTGGAGGAGCCGTGGGGAGGGCTGCTTTGTTGTCTTATCGATCAGCGAAAGGACAGTAATGGTGAGCCTGATTCCCGACCGCCAGGGCCCGTTGTACCACTGCTTCTGGGAGGGAGAGGCGAGAGCCAGGGAGTGCGTGGGACTCATCCCCATCTGAGCTGCCCAAGCCCGCAGAACGCACAGGGCCTCGGGCCCCTGCCCGGGACGCTGCTGGCATGGCCAGGGGAGGGGATGGGCGTGCAGCGTGGTGTAGAGAGCCAGGTCCCTGGGGGGCGGAGCTGAGCCTCCACCCGGGTGTGACTAGACCCTGCACTCCAGGCAGCATGGCGGCCTCCAGAACCAAGACGCTTCAGAGCATGGGAGAAGGCCGGGAGCCCCGCAGGGGAGCAGGCCAGCCTGCGGGAGGGTGGCACCCCGGGGTGGGGCGGGGAGTGGCCTTCCCACCGCAAGGGCAGCTGGGGCACCGTGAGGGGCGTCTGCAGCAAGCGGAAGGCTGGGGTCTGTCTGGGGCAGCGGAGAGTGGGGTGGGCGCTGGTCTCCGTCCTCAGTGAAGTCAGGACCCGTTGGCAGACGTGTTTTTCTTTCTAGAAAGGTGACTTTGCATTGTGAGATGCTATGCTTCAAACTAGGTGCAGCTGAGGCAGGGCCCACGCGGTGCAGACAGGGCAAAGTGGCGGCCACGCGTCATCTGTCCGTGGGCCGTGGCGCCCAAGGCTTGTTTTTAAAGTGATGCTTTATCTTCCTTCTTTTTCAAGGAATAGTTCATGTTTCATTTTGTTTGTTTTTTAAGGAAAGGAAAACAGCCTATTTTCCAGGTCTGCACCTGCAGTTTCTACTCACTAACACGGCAGGGAAAAGGATTCGCCTCAGACACTGTAGTGAATCATTTTTATTTCAGACTTGCTGTTTTCCAGGCGTCGGGCTGGCCCTCTGAGAAAAGCGTATTTATTTCTGCCCCTGGTGCACACACAGCATCTGTGCCCGGCCAGGGTACCGTGCTGTAGACCCCCAGGACGGGCCGTGATGGGCCGCGCTGGCCCTGCGCCCGTGGCTCCCTGCAGCGCGCATGGCTCTCGGGGCGGGCACGGGGCCAGGCGATGGTGGCAGCGTTCAGAAAGCCACGGTGATCGCGTGGTTGAGGTTCTGTGATTAGTCTTAGGAAGAGGTAGAATGTTAGTGCAGAGAAGCGATTTTTGTTGCTGTTCACGTAATTAGGCTAAATATTCACCCTTCGAAAGTCAGTCATGTGACTGGCCCCGCAGTGGGAGGTGTGCGGGGGCTGAGGAAGATGCGGGCGGACTCCGTGCTGAAGGGGCTGCGTCTGTGCGCGTGGGTCCTGCCGTGACGCGGAGGGCGCACAGCTGCTGCCCTGGGGGAAGGAGGCTACCACCCTGCGCGGTGGCTGCGCACAGCCTCTGCTCTGTGTGCGCCCTCTTCTGATGGTTCTCCCGGGGATAAAATGTTTGTGGATTTCCAGTAATGTTTCCTGATGAGCGGCTGAAATATGACAGTCTTCCTTTTCTCTTCCCAGCGTGTCACCCGTTCCCAAGAGGAACTTCGGGAAGATAAAGTTTACCACTTGGAGCGCCATCGGATGGAGGCCACGCTGGACCGCAAGTCTGACAGTGACGTGTGGGTCAATCAGAGTTCCTCAGTGGGCTCCAGCGCGTCCAGCCAAGAGCACCTGGACCACGTGTCTAAGCCGGGCACTCCCGCGTCCACTTTGACCAGAAGCGGCCCTGGGCGCTGGAAGACACCGGCCGCCGGGCAGCCTGTGCCAGCAGCGGTCCCCCAGCCTGGCCGCACGGACCTGCCCCCACCCCCTCCTCCACCTCCCATGCACTACGCCAGCGAGTTTGACGGACTCCCCATGGAGTTGCCTCTCCCACCACCCCCTGCCAGCCAGGCGGGCCCTCTGTCTGCACAGGCCGCTGCAGAGCGGAAGAAGCGGGAAGAGCACCAGCGCTGGTACGAGAAGGAGAAGGCCCGGCTGGAGGAGGAGCGGGAGCGGAAGCGCCGGGAGCAGGAGAGGAAGCTGGGCCAGATGCGCACGCAGTCGCTGAACCCCGCTCCCTTCTCTCCTGTGACTGTGCAGCCCGTGAAGCCGGAGAAGCCGGCCACGCTGCAGAGGCCCCCGGACACGGTCATCCGCGAGTTGCAGCCCCAGCAGCAGCCCCGCACCATCGAGCGCAGGGACCTGCAGTACATCACCCTCAGCAAGGAGGAGCTGTCCTCTGGGGACAGCCTGTCCCCGGACCCCTGGAAGCGGGACGCCCGGGAGAAGCTGGAGAAGCAGCAGCAGCTGCACATCGTGGACATGCTGAGCAGGGAGATCCAGGAGCTGCAGGGCAAGCCCGCGCGCACCGCCGAGGACAGCGACCGGCTGCGGAAGCTCATGCTCGAGTGGCAGTTCCAGAAGCGGCTGCAGGAGTCCAAGCAGAAGGACGAGGACGACGAGGAGGAGGAGGACGACGACGTGGACACCGTGCTGCTCATGCAGCGGCTGGAGGCAGAGCGCAGAGCCAGGGTAAAGGGGCGCAGGGCGCGCTCGCTGCTGCTCCTCACGGGGGGCGGGGCCCCCGGAAACGACCCCACATGGAGGCCGGGCGTTTTCCAGACATGCCCAGTCCCAGCGGAACGGGCCTGTCTCCGTCCACAGGCTCATTCTTACCTTCTCCAACGCTTCGGTTAAGGGAGCAGCGATCTTGATCCGGGGTTGGCGAGGCTTCCTCCTGAAACAGGCAGGTAGTAACGCTCTCGGGCGCTTCAGGCCGTGCAGACTCGGCCTTCCTGCTCAGCTCCGCAGCTGGCGCCGGGCCGCACACAGAGGGTGCGGCTGCCGCCCGGCCCCGCTCTTGGCAGCAGCACGGACGGCAGGGAGCTCGCCTGCCACGTCTCCGTGGCAGCCGTAAGACACCCAGAGCTCAGGGTTTTCTTCATTTCTCCAGTTACACAAATAATTTCTAGTTCTCTGTATCCAATAAAAGAAGAAAAGTAAAATTCCTATTAGGTTAATCAATAGATCGTTATGATGCCAAATTTAAGATTTTTGTTAGTCTCTGAGAGCTGTTGACAGAGAGGCATTCGCCGGTGTTAACTGAAGAAAGCGCTACAACCATTTAGTGGTTTGTGTTTTTTTTGGTTTGTTTGTTTTTTGTGGGTTTTTTTAGCAGAATCCAGGATTCTGAGAAAAAAACAGCAGGGGCAGGTCCTCTTTCTTATCTTTGGGTTCTGTTTCTAGTCCAGCTTTTGCCTGACGCCCCCGTCCCTGGTGACGGGGCCGCAGGGCGGTGTAGCGGGCACGGAGCGAGCGGGCGACCGTCCGCTCTGTTCCGCAGCTGTGTCCCCAGGAGACATCCCTCACGCGCGCACACAGACGCACGCGCTGCTGTGTACACGCGCTCCGCATACGCACAGCCATGCCCAAAACCCAGGGGGGGACCGCAGCCGCCTGTCCACGCTTGCGCCTCTGAGGCGAAGGCTGCAGTGTTAGCTGCCGCTGTTCTTTGGCGTCTCCCAGTTCACCAGGCGTGCCCTTCCTTCAGAGGGTCTGTGTTTGCCTTCACTGCCACTGACTGGAAAGAACAGCTGCCCGGTCAGAACTGGGGGCGTTTGGCGTAAGCACCCTGGCCCCGTGGTGTGCACTGCTAGCTGTGCGCGCCCTCAGCCGGCCCTGTCATTCGGGGACACGCCGCAGGCAGGTCCTTAAAAGAGCCGACCGTGCCTGCGGTCTGTCCCTCTTGCCCCCCGAGACGCAAGGCCGGCCCGGCCTCGACCTCGCTGTGGCCCCAGCCCTGACCGTGAAGCCGCGTCAGCGGGGACAGGGAGGCGTCTGGTGCTCACTGTTGCGGCCGCACCCCAGGAACAGTGACGGGAGCGGCCGTGCCATCCTGACCCTCGAGGCACTCCCTTCCGTGGAGATGGGGCTTTCTCCAAAGGTCTGTCCATTTTAAGCCTCTTAGTACAAAGTGTGACATTTGGAACATTTTTATGATAACTTAGTTAGACGCATCTGTGATTGAATAGACATTGAAATTAACATCTCTGTCTCCACATAAGGGGGCCGAGGGAACTCGGCCTCGTTTAGTTTCCGTGTGTCTAGTCAGGAAGTTCAGCAGTGACTTGCTGGGGGCCCACAGCAGCCTGCGCCCCCGCCCCCCACCGGGCCCTTCAGACGCGGAGGCAGGGGAGCAGCAGGCGGGCTGGCGGCGGAACACCGGTCGGACCTAACTTTTCACACTTCCTCTTTCTTTTTTCCCTTCTGTCACCTGCAGCAGACTGCTGTGCCAGCAATCTCTGTTCTAGATTTGGTATGTTCTCGTTCCTTCCCTTTGGTACGTCTCCCTGTCTTGACTTTCCTGCTCTCCAGTGGTGGTTTGTGTCCCGGTGGCCGCAGCCCTCCCGGCCCCAGACCGGCGTCTGGGGCCCGCGACCCGGGAGCATGCCTCTTACTGTCCCCACACGTAGTGTCCCCTTGCTCTTCTCCTGTGACGTTTAAGTGTCCTGTTCACAGCTTTCACCTCTTCTCCGTTCTAGTCGTGAACCGATTGTATGTATTCTCAGTCATAAATACACGAGCAAGTGAACATTTGCAGAGAGTAATAATCCATTTCTTTCTTGTGCCATTAGAAATCGATTTTAGATACTCAGCCATTAGAAGCTCAGCTGAATTGATGATGACGTTGTTTGCCATTGAGATGGAACTGCCGGGGAGGGGACTGCTGATGGCTAGAGAAGAGTGTGTTCCAGGCGCGCGTCATCCGTGTTCCCCGCCGCCACTGCGTGGATCGCAGGGTATCAGCCACACCAGTGTCGCATCTGCCCCGAAACACGTGGGTCGCCCTCTGCTGCAAAGGCGATGTGTTCGGGGTCAGCGCTGAAAACCCTTGGCTGGCACTTGGTGTCTGTCTGTGTCGTCTGCCAGACGATCACAGTCCAGTCGCGGTTGTAGAACAGAACTTCGGTTCTCCACCCGACAGCCCTTTCTTGCTGATACCTGTGTGATCGGTCACGCATCTCCCAGGCGACCAGCGCGGGGGGTGGTTTTTGAACAAATCGCTGCTCCAACAGCCTTTCACAGAAATCTGGCTGGAGCACTGAGGTCTCCCTCACATTTGACCGATGGGTTAGCTTCAAAGTACATCTGTGAGTCGGCCTTGAAATGGCAGGCCAGTACCAGACAATGCTTTAAAAAAATAATCCCTGAATTTGGAATTGACTCGAAATGGCCTTTCGCCAAGTAGCAACCTGCCTTCGGTAAAAATTTAGGCAGCAGGGGGGCGATGACCCCTCCAGGGAGAGACCTCTCCTGAGCCACCCCGACCCTGGCCGGCAGAAGGGCCCGTTTCCTGAGCTTCATGTGCGTTTCAGGACACACAGGCCCGCGTGTCTCTCCCTCCCTGTGGGTGGAGGTGCGCGCCGGCGGCCGGCGCTCAGGGCGGCGCAGGCGCCCACAGCCGCCCCCATGGGCCCGGGGAGGCCCCTGTGCCACCCAGCTTACAGTGAACGCTAGGGGTGATGTTCAGGGGTGGGGTGACTGGAAGGTTTCTGTTCCAGAGCTAGGGGTAGCTGAGCTTTTCTTTCTTTGAAAGATAGTTAAGTATTAATACTGACTCCAACCACCCGGCTCCTGAGCGTTTGGGAGGCTAGTTCCCCAGTAGATGTCGCCGTCGCCGTCCCCGTCCAGGCAGCTCTCTGCGGCCTTGCTGTGGGGTCTGTGGGGAGCGGGGTGAAGGAAGCATGTGCGTCCTCTCGTGGCAGCCGAGGGGCAGCGGGTCCGAGGGCGCCCGGCTGGTTTCTGCTCCTGGTCTGTCTCCGTCCCCTGCCTGTGCCCCCCACCTCCTGTGCATGGCCTGTGCTCATGCCAGCCACCCCCCTCTCACGTGTCCAGTGCAGGCCCCTCTCCCGCCCCGCAGGGCCCCCCTCAGCCTCCGCTCCACAGGGGTTCTCCTCGGGGGCTCCCTCGGAGCCCTCGGTGACCACAGCCGCGGTTTCCCCTCTTGTCGAGAAACTGCCATGCATTTGCCCTGCGCCTGCCCCCCAGCCTGAGCCACAGCGTCCCCCGCCGGGGCGACTGCAGGGAAGCCCTCCCTGGATGCCTCACCTCCACCCCGGTCCCCCTATGGCCGTTCTCCGCGGGGCAGCCACAGGGAGACTGAAAAGCTGGCGACAGCAATGTCCTCAGGGCCCTGCGGTGGCTCCTAGGGCCTTCAGGCGCCACGTTCCGCCCACACCACCCAGGCCCTGCCTTGGGGTGCAGAGTGGCCATCACCCTGGTCCCACCTGGCTCGCGTCGGACGGGCGCCCGGCCCGTCTCCCTCCTGACAGAGCGTGTGGCTCCAGGTCCCCAGAGAAGCGCAGGCTGCCCTCTCCTTTCCTCGTGCCCACCGGTGACATGGGTGGGATGGCGGGGCGGCCCCGCGTTCAGAGACCGGCCCAGCCTGAGGGAGCTGAGGCTGCCCAGCATGTTCTGAGCGCACATCTGGGGCCCTTCCTGCCGCTCGGCCGCCCGCTCCTGGACTCCACCCCCAGGAGCCGCGCCCCCAGGAGCTCCCATTGCCCGCGGTCTCCCCAGGCCCATCCTGGCTCCGACCTGCCCCCGGCAGCCCCTCCAGCCCTGGGGGCTTCAGCTGGCAGCACTCCTCCTCGCTCCTCCACCAAGACCTGAGGGCGGCCAGCGCCCGTCGGTCGGCACCCTCCATGGGACCAGCGGGGTCGTGTATCCCAGGGCGGGGCCTCAGCACCGTTGCGGAAGCACCAGGCGGGAGCCGCCCTGGGAGCAGAAGCCGCAGGCTGTCCCCTCGCCAGCCCAGGCGGAAGGACTCAGAAAGGGGAGTGGCCCAGCCCAGGGCCTCGGAGCCAAAGGGCGGACACGCCCCCCCCCCCCAAGGGCCAGCAGGGCCGGAGGCCTTGGGAGAGGCGCAGCGCTCAGGTGGGAAGCCAGCACGTGTCTGTTGTGGAGATGGGCCCCGAAGTTACTTGGATTGTGGCGCGCCGGCCAGTCCCCCTGAACGCGCTGCGAAGGCGCGCGGTCCCTCCGGGGCGCAGGCCCTCGCCACCCCCCGCAAGGGGGCTCCTCGGACGCGTCTCTGCCACTGGAGGACTCCAGCAGCTAAGCCACAGATCAGACCACTCCTGATAGAGTCATTTTCTTACCGTTGAAACAGAGGAGTGTGGTCTCGGCCCAGGGAGGGACCCTCTGTCACCAAGAGCCGGCCCTTTGGCAGGTGGCGCGCCCGCTCGGGTGAGAGCGGGTTCTGTGGCCCCAGCGAGGAGACGCGTGTCCCCCCCGGTCCCCTCTGCAGGCCCGACCTGCGTGGGGTGAGCGCGCCCTGTGGGCGGGGGCTGCAAGAGGGCCTGCGGAGGGGGGTCCGCGGGCCGCCTGCCGGGCAGACACAGCCATCCCCGCGGCACAGGCGTCCGCAGGGGGGTGCCAGTGACGGGCACGAGTCCGGCTTAGGGGCACGTGGGTCTCGACTCTCCACGCACTTGGTTTTCATTTGAAGACACCTTTTTTAGAAGCGTGGACGGCCAGCACAGCGGGCCCGTGGGTCCCGCTCCCACGGCGACCTTTGAAATGCCGGCATGGTCTGGGTCCAACCAGTTTTGGTCGGGGCTGCCTGGATTCACTCTGTAAGAATTGTGTCTATTTACATCTGTTCCCCGAGTAGGGCTTCCCACAAGACTGCTTTGATCGTGTGTGACTTCTCATTCCCGAGCTGTTATTTAAAGGAAATTAAGAGAGTAGATTGTTTTTTTTTTCCTATCATTAGTGGGTTTGGGTTTTTATTTTTTGGGATTTGTTTCTTTTTGTTTTTTTTTTTTTTTTTGCTTTCTGTGTTTTTTTCTTTTTTTTAAAGTAGTATCTCTTTGAAGAGAAACCGATCTGAGTTTTGAAACAAAAACCGCTGTGTTGAACATCTTCCCAGGCTGTGGGGAGGAGCGGCCTTCCTCCCAGCGTTGGTGCCGGCACTGCGTCCCCTCCCAGCCCAGGAGCGGCTGGCTCCGCCCCGGCAGCAGGCAGCCTGGGGCGGGGGCAGGGCCTCAGGAAACAGTCTGCTCCTGGATTCAGGGGCTGGGTCCTCTGCCAGTTGTTAGGAGACTTGTACTTGTTTTGATTTCTTCACACCGCAGTGCTTTTGGAAAGCGCTAGCTGGCTATTCCGGTGTGTGCCGTCTTCCCTGCCCATGGCCGGTTTTGACAAGGCCCAGGAAACGCAGCCCCGGGAGGCCGGCTTGCGCTTCAGGAGGGCAGCAGAGGCACCTCTGCGTTACTGCAGGTTCAGTCTCCCATCAGTCACCCTCCTGCAGGGTGTTTGACACCCTCTGCTGCCATCTTGTTATTTTGGTTTGGGCGCCGCCTCCCACCTTTGGTGCCGAGGACCCCGGGAGGCCCTATTGGCCTTGCGGCCCATGCAGCGCCTGCCTCGTTCCTCGAGGCCCCTCCGTTCTTGGCCCACGGCTCTGGGCCCTGCCGCTGCGGACGCCCTGCCGCGCACCTCGACCGCTGGGAGGAGCCGGGCTGATTCGTCTTCCCGAGGGGGGATTCCGCTCCTTTCTAAACGGCTTCTTGTTGTGCACCGACCAGGGGGTACCTCATGGTTGAGCTCGTATGTCACCGGAGCACAGCGTCTGTTCCACAGAAGTAATGGAGCAACGTCGTTAGGGCTTTGTTTTTATTTAAAAAAACAAAAGACAGCCCACAATTCTAACGAGCCGATTGCGGATTAACAAGGAGCTCTTTGGATGCCGAAGCGCTCGCACACCGAAGGGCTGGATGTGAGGACCCTGCCTTGGTTGGGGGAGACCCGGCGGGTGAGGCTTGGCGCTCCGGGGCAATGTGCAGCGCGCCAAGTCCCCTCCTCGGCGGCCGCTGTCCTGCGCCCGTTGCCGCTCCAGCCCGGGCCTTGGGCAGGCCGGGAGTAGAGGAGGGGGCAGGGCTCTCAGAGCCGCCGTCATGGCCTAAGCGGCTGCCTCATGTCCAGGTGCGAGAGAGCCTCGCTCCCTCCTCTCCCGGCCAGAGGGGCTTTTTTCCGGGTTCTTTTAGAAAAGGCAGTTTCTGCCTGGAGTGAGCGTGCGTGACCAGGGGGACAAAGGAGCTGAAACCCAAAGAGAAGATTTGTTCTAGCCTTTTTGTAAGAGATCCTTGAGTGTTTGAATGGTGCAGGGGAGAGATAACAGACGGCAAGCAGGCGACGTGTGTGGGGCGGCCGGGGGCCGGAGCGCACTGTCCTGGGGGGCTGGGTCCCTCGCTGGCACGCCCAGCGGCTCGGGGGGCTCCTCGGCAGCCAAGCGGCAGGAGTCTGAAGGAGGTCCTCCTGCGGTTCCGCTCTGGGGCCCAGGGTTCGGGGGTCTCCCTGAGCAGACAGGACCAGAGGGGGCTGGTGGCAGGGGCCAGGGTGGGAAGGTGCAAGGACCTTGGTCCCCAGGGCCGGGCGCCCGTCAGCCAGCTCAGGGCCCCCCTGCTGCCCACCCAGAGGCTCAGCTGGTCTGCACCTGCCCCGGGGGCACGGGCTGTTTCCCCCGTCCCCCCGTCCCCCCCCCGCCATGGCAGGAACTGGGACGTGCAGGGAGAGGTGGTTGGGCACCTTTTGTTTGCACGGTTCACATGAGCTAGCTAACTTTAAACTTGTTCTCACAAAATAATGGAGCTTGTTTGGTGTGTGTGAGTGGAATGCGCTCTCCCGGGCCCCCGATCCGTGCAGGGCGATTCCGGGGCCAGGGACTGTGCTTTGGGGCGGCAGCCGCATCTCCCCGGCCCTGCCCCGCGCCCGTGTCCTGTGCGAGCCTCGTGTGCGAGCCTCGTGTGCCTGCGTCTGCTCGTCTCCGTGTGCTGTCGCCCCCGGCCGGCCGGGCGCCGGGCGGAAGGTAAGGTCACTCTGCTGTCAGTTACAGGACGAGGAGCGCCGGCGGCAGCAGCAGCTGGAGGAGCTGCGGCAGCGCGAGGCCGAGGAGCGCGCCCGGCAGGAGGAGCAGCGTCTGCGGCGGGAGGAGGAGCGCGGCCGGCGGGACGCCGAGGCCAAGGTTCGGGTGCTGTAGGGCGCGACGGGGCTGGCGTGAGGCGCGGCCGGGGCCGGGCAGGGCCTGCCCCTCCTCTTCCTGGACCGAAGCCCGGCGGCCCCCCTTCTGGACTGTCTCCAGACCCTGTCTTCTGCCCGTCTCTCTCTGACTCCTGGACCCCGGGGCCGGGCCCGCACCGGCCTCTCGGCCTCAGCCCTGCCGGCCCAGCTCTGTCCGTGCTGGACGCGGCCTGGCGGCTGCGGGGGGCTGCCAGCGGTTCCGTGACTGCTCAGCGTGCGTGTGAGCTGCGGGCAGCGGCAGGAACGTAGGGGACAGCCTGTTAGCACTGAGCGTTTTAAGTGGCTCACTCACTGAAATGGCTCCACTCCAGGTGATGGGAAAAAAGGAGAGCGCACGGTTTATACGCGACCAGCTACAGCAGAGCGTGACCTAGAGTGTAACGCGGTAGGCGCTCTGAGCCGTGACATTGTTTCCACGTGCAGGTGTTTTACAAGTAACCCTTTCAGCTGCTCTTCAACGGGGCGGCCAGGTCGGGGCGGCCTCTGCGGGGGGGGACCCGGACGATGCTGCCCCTCCCAGCCTGTGTACAGCTGTGCAGCGTGGTCCCGCAGGCGCTGCCGCTGTCCCCGGGCTCGCGGGCCGGCACGTGCTGTCGCTCCCCTTCTGTGACGGCGGAAGCCTGCGTGCAACCACCTGATTGTTAGAAATCCCTTCTGGGAGGGTCCTGGGACGGTAGGAGCAGAACATCCTCCCGCTGGGGAACGGGACGCGGAGGAAGCCCATGTGGTGGTCCCGTGACCGCCCAGGAGTGAGGCCCGGAGAAAGGACCTGGCCCGTTTAAATGACCGCAGGGCGCTCCCGAGGGCCTGGCCTGTTGGCAAGCTGCCCATCTCGGCCTCTCGCAGACCTTTCCCTGTCCTTAGAGCCTGCCCTCCTGTCACCTGTCCTGCCGGACGGCGTTGCGCTTTCCTCAGGGGTCTGAGCTCGCGGGGTGGCTCGCCCTGGCGTCTTGGCCTGAGCGGGGACGTTGCCACTGATGGCCCTGGAGCCCAGGCCCCTCGAGGCCTCGGTTGGTGCGGCCTGTGAGGTCCGTCTGTCCCTGGGCTGCTGAGGAAGGGCTTGCTCTCCTGCGTCCCGCCCGTGCGCCCTGGGGGCCCTGTGGGTGCCACCGGCCGTCACCGCAGGACCCGTGCGTGTGGCGCTGAGGCACCCTCGGCCCACACTTGACCGCCATGGTCCCCGCGCGTGCGTGTGGCCGAGGCACTCTGTGTGCGGTAACTGCTGCTGTGGGTGGGTGCTCAGTGTACCAAGGAGCCTGGCGACCTGCTGCTTTATGCAGCGTGTGCAAAATTGGTGGGTTGGCTTTGGCACAGAGGAACGGTGGGTGGGACAGTGGCCGTGCAGGCCGTCATTGGGCCTGCTCTCCATCCGAGGAGGCCACGCCAGCCCCCGCGGAGGGCCCCGGCCGCGGCGTCAGCGAGGACCCAGACAGGCCCCCGGCAGCAGCCGGCACAGCCGCAGCGCACACTCGGGTTCCGGGTCCGCACCCCAAGAGGACACTTATTTTGTGTAGAAAATAAGAAAAAAAGTCTTCCCTTCATGATGTCTCAATGTAGAGTAAGAAGATAGAATGAGAAATTGGGTCGAGGCCACAGCGGGGGCTGGCATTCGCTCCTGGGGTTCTCTCCCTCGGAAGGGGACACGTTGGCCATTGTGTGTTCACTCGCTCTGTGCGTGTGCACACATGCGTGTGTGTGCGTGTGTCTGTCTAGAGGCAGCAGGGAGAAAGCACAGGCGTGCAGCGTGAAGTGGGACCAAAAACTGCAACGCTGGCGCCAGCGAGGTCCCTGCCGCCGTGCGCCCCGGCTGAGTGGGTCGCAGCGCACCGCCCCGCGCCCCGCGCCCTGCGCCCTGCGACTGCGTTCCCGTCCAGGCCGGCTGCTTACTGTTTGATTTCTCATCGCTTGTTTCCTCTTTTCTTGTGTTCTAAAACTCCTGTCAATCTTCAACACCATTGTGCTGTAACCTTTTTTAATGTTAAGGTAATTTTAACACTGTCAACTGGAGTTTCTCGGATGTATGTCAGAAAAACGTGTGGTACGTGTCACAATACACCTTGTGGAATGCCTTGTTGCTGTCGCTCTGACTTTCTGTCTGACAGGGAGTGGAAGATGGGGCGTGCGACTCACGAACGGTGGAAGGCTCGCTCGCGCGCGGCTTTGGGCAAAGGACGGTGTTCTTGCGGTCGGTGGTGCCCCGTCACTGCCCCGCCAGTGACCGGGAAGAGCCAGGCGGCTTGCTCACGCCCTTCCCGGGTGGGGGGCTGCTCTCCGGCAGCCGGGCCAGCGGGGACGCGGGTCGCCCCGGGCGCGCCGGCCGCGGGAAGCCAGGTAGAGCCTGTCTGGGGCTGTTTTGTCTTTAAACTCAGCAGTAACAGGTAAGTTGACGCCGGGACAGAAGCAGGAGAGAGACAGGCAGAGTCCGGAGAGCAGGGGAGGGCTGAGCGCTTGGCATGGCGTGGACGGGCCGGCGCGCCTGCGTGTGGGAGCCCGCCCGCCCCGGGAGTCTTCGCGTTCCTTGCTTTCAAGCAGCTTCATGCCGATTGATTCCCGGGTCTCGAGAAGCCCGCTTCCAGGGCAATGTGCCTGTTTCTGTCACCGTAGGCATGATGTCAGGCCCCACGGTCATCACCGGTGTGAGGGGCCCGGGAGGGTGGGTCTGAGGCCGTGCCCCGCCCCCCCCCCCGCCACCTGACCTTGGCCTCTCCTCTCTGTCTTTCCCCCCCACAGAGGCAGCAGGAGGAGGGGTACTACAGCCGCCTGGAGGCTGAACGGCGCCGGCGGCACGAGGAGGCCGAGCGCCGCTTGCTGGGGCCCGAGCAGCCCGAGCCGGAGCAGGAGCCAGGCCTGGGCAGACCGCCGCTGCCCCGAGGCTACGAGCCCGCGGCCCTGCCCTCGGCCGGCGCGCCGCCCCCGCCGCCACAGCGCACCACCTCCTCCCTCCAGGCCCAGGCCCTCTCCCCCGACTCCCTGTACACTGCCAAGTACGTCGCCTACGAGGAGGAGGAGGAGGAGGAGGAGGAGGAGGAGGACCGCGGCCCAGCAGGTCAGGACACCTATGCTGACCCAAGGGCACCGCCGGGGCCCCGCTCTCCTGCCGCCCTTAGGCCACAGCCTCGCCCCTGCCGGCCACGCCCAGCCTCCGATGGCATCTTCCTCTCCAACCCGTCCCAGCTGCCCTCGGCCTGTGCCAACAGCACGGCCCGCCCGGCAGGCCAGGCCCCGCCCCCTCCAAAAACCGCCAGCCTGCTCCACCTTGGGCCCTCCCGCGGGAGAGGTAACCAGCACCCTTCCTGCCCTCTGCCTTCTGGTCGGCTTGGGGCCTCCGCCTGCTCTGCCCACGACGCGGGCCTAGCGCGCCTGCTGGGGAGCCTGGGTCAGGCTTGATTACGGGGCTCCTGGGGCCGCCTTCCCCCCTGATTGTGGTGGCTCGCAGATGCTCTCTCCGGGACCAGCCCTCTGGCGCTGTCTCCGTGGCTGAGCCGGCAGCGGCCAGCCCTCCCCCGCCCCCTGGCGCTGCTGGCCTGGGTCTTCCTTCTCTGCCTCCAGACAAGTCCTGTGCGTGGCTCCCGTGCCCCCTCCCCCTCATTTGGCGTCTACACCAGGTTCTGCTCATCAGCGGGGTCCAGCACACACTAGGGTCTGCATGTCACCGGAGCAGGGCTTTCTCTTCTGGCTCGGGTGCCACATGGCGGTGGTACAGCAGGGACCCCAAGCGGCCGCAGCGCTCGCTAAGCCAGGCGGGGCGAACGGCTGGGTACCGGCTGCCCCTGCCACGAGCCTGGGACTGGACCGCTGTGGGCCGCCCTCCTGCCCACCTTCCTTCCGCCCTGCTGCCTTTCCTGCTCCGAGCACCGCAGCGCAGGCAGCCAGGCCCCTGCCTCAGGTCCTGGCCTGGCACGGTGGGCCCTGCCAGTGCTGGGACCGCGGCCACTGCAGGCGCGTGTTCCGTGATGACTCCGAGGCAGCGCTGGAAGTTGCACTGAGAGCCTAAGTAAGCTGTAGGGCTTCAGATTTCAGACTAGTCCGAGGGCTTCCGCAAAAACGGAGTGCCGGCCGGACAGGCTCCCGTTAACAGTGCCGCTCTTACTAAGCACAAGACTCTCCTGAATCACCACCCCCCGCCCAGCGCCAGGCCCAGGGGCTCCCCCGGCCCTGCAGGAGCTGTCCTCAGCGCCCCGTGCCGCGGGTGGCCCTGGTCAGAGCAGGGGTCTGCCGGGAGCTGCTCTTTGTGAGCGCCCAGAAGGGCTTGTCTTTAGACCTCAGTGGAACGGCAGGGATTTTTGCAGCGAGTGCCATCCGTGTCCCCGCAGCAGAGTGCAAGCCCAGCAGGAGAGTTTGTGGGGGGCGTGGTGACCGCGCTGTGGCAGGCACTCTGCCCCCAGGGCCTTCAGTTCCACCGCAACCCTGCCCCGTCTCCCACCGGAGCCCAGGCAGCAGCAGGCCCCACACCGCCTCCCTCGCCCCAAGCCTGCCTTCCTCCGCTCCCTGCAAAGCTGTTGCTCCTCGGCTCTGCCCTGCCGGGAGTGCACTGGAGAAGCGCAGTTCTGAGCCTGGACCGGTCTCTTCCACTGGGCACCGCGCGCACAGGCAGGGCGCCTGGCACGCGCTTTGCGGCCGACGCATGGTGGGCGCCCTTCCGCACGGCTCCGTGAGGGTCTCTGGTGCGGCCGTTGCTCCCGTGCAGCCGGCTGGGATGTATGACCCTCCGATTGACTGGAAATTCTCAAAAAGTGATTTTTACCAGTGGAAGAAACACGTGTCACTCTGACAACAAAGCTCAAAAAACAGAACATTTTCAAAACAAAATGAGTAAGAAATTCAATACTAAAGTTGAAAAACTTTGAGCGAGCCATTTTTATCGCAAGGCTTGCTCTGGAGGGCCTCCCGTTGGTGTGGCTTTCTGTCTGCTCTCTCGAGCCGTGGCCGAGGGTGGCTTTCTGCGGTGCTGATGGGGGACCCGCACGGAGCCGTGAGGGGGGGGTGAAGTGCGGGGCGGGTGCTCCCACGGTGGCTGAGCCGTCCCATCGCCCGGCGTGGTCCTGCCCAGGAGGCCTGTGTGTGGGCGCGGAGGTCAGGGCGGCAGCGCCTGGGACAAGGGGGTTCCAGTGTGGGCGCGCCGCCCTGCTGCTCTGCAGGTGCGTGGGTGCCCACCGCGCAGGCCGCCGTTGCTCTCAGCGTGGGATTATTTTTTTCCAGCTGAGTTAAAATTAACAGAAACTCATTGGCACAGTTTTAGGGCATGATGATTTTAATAGGGTACCATCAGGGGCAAGAGTAGCTTATCCAGATGCACTTAAAGCTTTTGTCTGCATCCTGTCTTCGGCAGCCCCTCGGCCTGGGGGCAGACAGCAGAGGGCAGGTGGCCGCGCGGGCTGCAGCGTGGGCCCTCCGCACTGCCTCAGGGCATCTCGTCCCTGGCTCTGTCCGGTACGAGCGTACCAGCGCTGAGGGCTGAGCAGCTCATTTGTTTAAGGACTTTTGTTTGTTTTAACGTTACAGCCATTTATTTTGAAAAAATTCAGGAGCTGCCATGAAAAGATTCTCAGCCACAGGATTACTTGAGAACCTGCAAGTTGCTCTGTGATTTTTGTAGGAGACGAGTTGCTGTCTCCCCGTTTAAGCCAGTCTTTTGTGGATTTTCCTTGGGAATCTGTGATGTTTGTGAATTTTATCTGATCGGAGCTCGGCGGCTCTCCCCCTGCGGCCTGTGCAGCTCCTCGCGCACACACTGGCAGGGCCGCGCAGCGACTCGGGCCGCGCTCCAGCCACCGGGGGTGGGGCTTCTCAGCGAAGAGCCTGGGTTTTCTTATTTAGGGATTAAAAATGTCTTATTCTCCTAAGGGCGCTACATCCTTCTCATGGGTAAAGTTTAGCAAATAACGCAAGTACTTTAACTTTGACTTTCTCTTTTATGGAAAAGGACCAAACTGTTTCACGGGATCTTCTGGGGCGCTGGCCGGCGCCCATGAGGCTTATCCGGACCCGAGAGAGAAACCAGCGAAAAGGTAGTGCGTTGGCGCTGGATGGCCCCTGCACCGGGATCCTCTTCCCGTCCACGCGCTGGGTGCACGGGGCTGCGCTGGCACCTTGGAGACAGGTCTCGGGCCGGGCGTTGACCGTGGCCCTGGCCCCGCGCGGCCTGCGCAAGCTCGCCCTTCCCTGCGCGTCGCTTGCAGGGTGGGCCCCAGCAGTGGGTGGGCGCAGGCTGAGGAGTCAGGACTGCAGGACCCGTGGACACGCTGCTCTGTGCGACCCCGCCCCCAGGAGGTGGCAGGTTCGAGGTAGCGCCCTGGGCGTCCCCTCCCCGGGCCCCAGCCAGGAGCGCTGCTGCCTGCGCACTTGTCGGCACGCCGCGTGAGCGGGCAGCCTCAGAGCCGCCTGGCTTCTGACCCGCTACGGCTACATGTGCGGACGCTGACGTGCCTCTCGGGTCCCTGCAGGGCCGCGTGTTGAGATGCTCTGTTTTTAAACTGCCTCTTCAGTTAGACTCTCAGGGAAGGGCGGCCTGCTTGATAAAACTGAGGTTGATAAAAGAGTTTCCAGGGTTGGATGTGACAGGAGTTGACGTTTTCAGGGAGGAGACTGCTCTGTCCTTTCTCTGAAGAGTTCAGGGACAGCCCCGATGACGGCAGCTCCAGGGGCGGTGGCCACGAGTCTGTCGGGGAGGGAGGCCCTCTCACAAACGCGCGCCGACGTTCCCTGCGCCGACGCGAGTGCCCCTGCTTGGGGACGCACCGCTGCCATTCTGACCGGTGCCGTTTGCATTTCCTTCTCGTGCAGCCAGGAGGCCGATGTCCCTGCAAGTTCGGGGGCCCCCGAGAACTTGACGTTCAAGGAGCGCCAGCGTCTCTTCTCGCAAGGTCAAGATGTGTCTAATAAAATAAAAGCCTCTCGCAAGTTAACCGAGCTGGAGAACGAGCTGAACACCAAGTGAGACGGGGCCTCCGCAGGCCCGCGGGCCCTCTCTGCAGGCTCTGTGGCTGCGAGCCCGAGGCGGGAGGGGCCTGCTCCTGCGTCGCGCGGGGCTTGCCTCCGGGGCGGTGGGGACTTGGAGACAGTTCCAGCTCCAAGAAACTCTGTTTTACCAAGAGATTGTCATGTATGCAATTTAAATTACACTGTCTAGTTTCTTCATGATCTGACCCCGTGAAGACCTTCTCAGCTTCTTTCTTAGAGGGGGCGGGAGGAAGGGGGTACCTCTTCCCTCCTGCTTCCCCGAGGAGCACAAAGCCACCCTGCTTCCCTTCTTTGTCACACGCTTGAGCGGAGCTCTCCGAGGGTAGCTTGAACTGCCCGGAATGTCATTTGCACTACTGAGTGGCAAGTAGGGACGGCTCTGCGGGGGGCGGTGACCCTCCCGGAGCGGGGGTCAGGGAGGCGCAGCCCCTGCGTGCGGGCCAGCGGCTCGCCCCAGTGCTCGGGCGGAGCAGGAACGGCGCTCCCGGAACAGGGGCGCACACGGGGCCCTGCCCTTCTCCTGCTTCCCCAGTCCCGGCCTCCTGATCAGGTCTAGGTGTTTGATTGGAAAGTTTTTTGAACAGAAAATGTTGAGGCTTTAAGCTTAGGAAACTTTATAAAAACTAGATTATTATTATAGTACATCATGGGTGGTTTTGCAGGTGGCAGTTACCAGTAGGAAGTTAACGTCTCCAGGCGTTCACGGGGATCCGTGAGGGAGACTGCCGACCACACGGCGGCAGATGGGGACGGGGCAGGGACGCGGCGCCTGAGCCCAGTGGGAGAGGAGCGGGCCGCGCCCGTGGGCTCACGTGCAGCGTCTGTAGTTAGTTTGTAGGAGTAATTCATATGGCAGTTCAAGCTATTTTTTTACACTCTAATAGAATTATTTAATTTTCATTTGTTGATTATTAGTAACCACTGTCATTTTTTCAGCTGTGGAAATATGGCTGATGTCGGGGAGACGGACCTCACTTTGTTTTATATTGTGTGATGTTAAAATGGTAAATTACTTTGTGATTATGAACAAATTTTCTATTTGACAAAGCCCTGATGTGGGGTCTAGATTTTTCTGTACCATATTGTTCTCTGAAAAATACATATGTCAGGAAGATGCGCACACTTCCAAATAGCAGTGGGAGGGGCCCTCTCACCTTAGAAATCACTTTAAGAAGAGCTGTATGATGAATCATTAAAATGCGAGTGTAAATACTTTGTGTCTGTCAGGGTTCTTGTTTGGAAGTGTGCGTTTGCCGCCCCCCCTCCACGTAAGGGGGAGGGCGGGGCCCGCGCTGATGAAGGTCCCCGAGCGCCGGAGCGGGCGGGCAGGCCGACGCCCCGCAGGGCTCGGCGCCAGGGCCCCGTGGGGCGAGGCCCACACGGTCTCCAGAGAAGGGGTGCAGAGGCACTGCTCTTCGGTTCATATATAGGAGACGTGCACATGCCTGTAGGCACCGGCGCGCAGGGCTGCGGGCACGCGCGGCCCGGACGCCGGTGCCGGGGAAGGGCTTCTGCAACTGCGTTACTGTGGAAAATCACCAAAACTGCTGTAGTTCCCGTTTCTACTGTATTTCACTTGCAGCCTATTTTTAATAAACTTTGTATGTATTTAAGTGTATTTGCTGTTATTTTCATACTGCTGACAGATGTTATATTTGAGTATCCACCCTCCTGCCCCCACCCCTCTTCAGTCATTAAACATGCCCAGCCCTGGCCAGCCTGCGAATCAGGGGGTCGCCGGTTCAATCCCCAGTCGCAGCACCTGCCTGGGTTGCAGGCCAGGTCCCCAGCAGGGGGCGCACGAGAGGCAGCCACGTGTGGATGTTTCTCTCCCTCTCTTTATCCTTCCCCTCCCCCCTCTAAAAACAAATAAAATCTTTAAAAAAAACCAAACCCACGTCCGGGTGTCCTTTTGTCAGGCACTGCCGTCGGTGTGGACACTGCCGCTCGGTGACGCAGTCGCCTGGCGTCTCCTGGGCTCTGAAGCACCCGCAGCCATCAGCGCCCGTTCTCCGAGGTGCCCCGGGAGGCGTGCTGGGCGGGAGGGCCCAGCGCGGGGGCTGTGCTGGGGGCGGGTGTCGGGCCGCCCGCCCTTCCCGGCCTCTGGGCCGGGACATTGGGCCGGGGCAGCCTCCCGCGAGGGCAGGCCTGTCTCTGGGCTGTGAAGACCCCTGGGAGTCCTTTGGGTGGGACCAGGTGCTCACATATTAGGGCGATGGCTCGCTTTTAGTGTATGGTGATGCCCCCAAAAGTGCTGTAAGTTGGACTTAGAGGTGGTTAGTACTGATCCAGCTCCCTCTCCAGGCCCCAGCTCTGGGGCGCTGGGCGGCGGCGCTGCGGCCGACCCCCACCCCCGGCCTCTGGCCGGAGCGGCAGGAGCAGCACCCCGGCCCCGTGCTCGCGTGTGCCGTAGGACGGCACCCCTGCTTCCTGCGTGGGTAACAGACTCCGACACTTGGCTGCGCACCGACGGTGACGTGAGGCCATGGCAAACTTTTAAGTGGAATGACTTCCAGGAGGGAAACGTGTTCAAGAGATGGGTTTTCATGCGACCCCGAAAGATGTTCCACACACACAGTTCACGATGCCTCGTCAGCCCGTCGCTGGTGGCCCAACGGGTTCCCCGCCTTGCGCAGCCGGTCCAGGAAGGCAAGTGCCCGGCGTGTCTACGCAAACGCAGTGCCGTCGTGTGCACAGGGCAGAGGCACGGGCCCGCGGGGGTTCACGGAACCACCCGGCTGAAGTCTCGGAGGGGGCGCCCTTTGGAGGAAATGAGTCCCCCTGCGGAGAGAGGCGGCTTGGGGTGGGAGGCAGCCTGAGGCAGAGGCCCAGGCGGGGGGCGCAGGAGGGAGGGAAGCTGCTTGGGCCCCTCTTGGGAGGTATAGGGTACAAGGTGGGTGACATGCGCTCGCCTGTCTGGGGTGGAGTGAGCCTGGGTTTTCCCGCTTTTCTAAAGCATAGGCTGCAGGCACAAAGGGACCAAGTCTACGTTGGTGGCAGCGATTCCAACTTAACTTGGAATTTTAGAAATAAAGTAGAGCAGTTAAGTAACATGACAAGGGCAAAGCAAGGAGCTGGCCGCCACCGGGACTTGCGCGGCAGCGGAAAGCGGCCCCGAGGCAAAGGGCGGGGGGGCCGGGGGTGCTGAGTGAGCCATGGAGCGCGCCCCAGGCTGCAGGGCGCCCCAGGCAGAGTGGGCCAGGCGCTGGGGAGGAGGGGAGAGGGAAGCCCGCCGGGGAGTCGGGGGGCTTTTTGGTGGTTGGTTTGCCCTGATTTTTTTTGTCTTCATTTCTATCAAGTATAACCTGAATACTTGACCGTTACTAACATAGACATAGACGCGGAAACTGCCCAAAATCCCCTAAATCTCTGGACACAGAGCCTGACACTTGTGCATGAACTTGCCTCTCCCGGTAAAACTTGCCTTGTTTCTCTCTCGTTGTCACATGGGTCAATGGATCGCTAATGAAATTAAAGTGATGGCTGAAGAAGACGGCTCCGCCCTGTACGCGCCTCCGAATAGCCCCGCCGACCGGCTCTGCAGGAGGCGCGCCCCGGAAAAGCACGGACGGCCGCCGCCCCCGCCCCGCCCCGTGACCTCGGCAGGGCAGGCGAGAAGTGCGCGCGCGCTCTCTGGGGGAGGGGCGGCCCCGCCCTGGTCCTGCGACCGAAAAGAGGGTGCACGAGCTCCGGGGCGTGGCTCTGCCTGCGGAAGAGGGACTGTCCCTCCCCGTGTCCCCGGCCTGCAGCGCTGCCACCCGCCGGGACCCCGCCCCACTCGGGGAGTCTGTTCTGGGGGCCCGCGTCCTCCCCGCCCCCACCCCCCGCGCACCACGACCGTAACGGAACAAAATAAAACGTCCCCGTAGTTGGCGCCCGAGGAGGGGTTCGGGCTCGGGGCTCGGGGCACCCTCCGCACTTAGGAAACGGTCCTCCCCTCCCCCACCCGGCACCACAGGCGCCGCGCAGCCTCCGCGACGCGCCCGCACGCCCGCGTCCACCGAGGCCGCGATGCCCGCAGGAGGCGGGCGATGGGGCGGCTTCCAGGAGCGGCGGGCGCAGCAGCTGCAGCGGCTGGTGCAGGTGAGGGGCTGCGGGGCGGGGGCTGCGGCCGGGCCTCCGGAAGGGGGTGCGGGCTGGAGGGCAGGCGACGGTGGCGGTGGGTTGGGGGCCCCTCCGAGGTAAAGAGCACGCGCGCCCTCAGGGGCGGGGCCCCCACGTCGCCCACCCACCTGCTGCGCCGGCCCAGTGCTGGGCTGCCGCCAGGTCCCACCGCCCATGCCGCGCCCATGCGCCCCACCACCGGGGTGGGCGGCTAGTTCCGCGGTGCTGGGTGCGGGGCGGAGGCAGGATCGATGCGGGACGGGTTGGCCTGTCCACCGCGGGGCGCCGTCGTCCCAGCCCTGCCCCCTCGCAGGCCCCGCTGAACGCAGGGAGCAGAATCGCAGCTAATCGCAAGCGCCAGCGAACTGGGGAGGAGGCTGTGGTGGCGCGGAGGGGCAGCCGCGGTCCCCGCGTGTGTAGGTGGCGAGGCCTGGGACGTGCAGTGAGGGGGGCTGCGGGGGACCCCGGGATCGCGGGGCCGCGGGGCCGGGACGGCAGCCGAGGCCGGCAGGCAGAGTGGAGGCCAGGCAGGCTGTGAAGGCTGGTTCTCCTCTTGGGCGAGGAGGGGCCCCAGAGACGTGGAGGTGGGGCCTCAGGGCTGCATTTTGAAAACGCGGCTTTGTGGCAAGTGCTGGGATGGGCCTGGGGGACCGGCAGGGACAGACAGAGGGCCGGGCAGGACAGGACTTCCCTGTGGCAGGACGGGGTACGCTGTGCACCTGCTCCATCAGCAAAACTAGCGAATCTGGCTCAAAAGCATTTCAGGCGCCTGGAAACTGCCCTGTGCATCCATCACATGAAGAAACTTTTATCCAAGAAAATTTACCAAACCTGGAAGGACAGCGACCGCCAGGGCCCCAAGCCCCCACCGTCCGAGCTCCGCTTGGCGGCAGGTCGGGCCCAGGCAGCACAGGGCCACACAGACGGTTCTGTCTCCCCTCGGCTCCTGGCCTTGGGCCCCCGGGTCTCGTGGGGAGGGATGGCCACCAGCTCGGAGGGCGAGACGTGGGGCCCCGGTGTGCGCTCTGGCGGCCTGGGGGTTGGTTCCCTTCCTTCGCCTGCAGGGCAGGCGCTTTACCCTGAACACGGGCGGGGAATACGGGGCCCAGTGGCTGCGCCCGGCTCAGTCGATGCAGGGGTTACCCATGAAGGGCGCAGAGGCCGCCGCCGGCAGCCCCGGAACCGTGGCGAGAGATCTGGCCCCGGGGAGCAGGCCGTGGGCGAGAGAAGCCCCCCAGAAGGACCCACTCTGTTTGCAGCGAGCGCAGCGGCGGGGAGGGGCTTCAGAAACAGTAGCTCTTAGTTAACAACAGTTTTCAGTCTCCTGCTGCCGCTGCTGCCAGTGGCTGAAACAACAGACATTCATTCCTCACAGTCCTGGGCCCGGATGTCCAAGATCAAGGCGTCGGCTGGGCGGGTTGCTCCTGGGGGTCCCCTCCTTGGCTCTCTGACGCCGCCTCTGGTCCTGTGCTCAGAGGGCCCGCCCTGTGGGCACAGCCACCCTGCTGTCTCCCTGTGCCCTCCCAGCCCCCTCTTCCTGGGAGGACCCCAGGCGGTCGGGATGGGCACAGGCCCAGGAGGCCTCATTTTCATTTCATCACCTCTTTAAAAGCCCCGTCTCCAAAATGCACCGCTTTCCGGGGTTTGCGGGTGCAGTGCTGCCCAGAGCCGGTGGCAGGCTGAGCCACCGGCCACTTCACTCACTGGGGAGAACCCGGAGGCTGCGGCGAGGAGCCCCCGGGGTCGGGACAGACCTCCGGCGGGGCTGCGGCAGGACCCACCCCAGTGTAGCCGCACCCGACGCTGGGGAGCTGGGCACCCCGGGCCGCCCCCCCAACAGGAGGGCAACCCGTCGGCCACCGGCGGGCTCCACGGGCGGCCCGCGGCTCAGCGGGGGACCAGGGAGAGATGGCCAACACAGTCCTTGCCAGGACTGCCGTCCCCGGGCGCTCGTGTGTGCCCATGGCAGGGCCCCTCCGGGAGCCATGCGCCCCGAGGACGTCGGGGGAAGCGGCCGCCGAAGAGTCCGGCAGAGCCTTGCGCAAGGCAGGCCAAGGGCCGCCAGGCAGGCTGCGCGCTTCGGGAAGTGGGAGGGGATCCAGAACCAAAGTTCCTAAATCTGTTGCCTAAAATGTCCAGTTTTCAGCAAGAGATGATGAGGCATGAAAAGAAATAGGAGGGTGAGCCTCCTGCATGGGCA